TAACTAAGAATAAGTTATTAGGTAGAAATTTTTGTTTTTATGGTCCTCATCATTGGAATAAACTGCCATTCTTTATTAAATCTAATCTAAATTATAACTCTTTCAAAAAACAATTAAAAACATATTTTTTATGCTGCTCATAATATAATATATATATATATATATATAATATATCAAATTTCATTCTTGATTCATTCATCCTTTATTTCTTATTATTTTTTTTATAATAATTTAGATTGAATTATTCATTATATGTTTTATCACAGATATAATATATGCAACAAGGTTGTTTGTAGAATATCTGTGGTGTGTATATATCTATTATTTTTTTGTTTTTCCATTATGAGGCCACCCATAAATTAGTATTATATTGCTAGGGTTAACCTTTTTACTTTGGTAAATAAAATCAGTTAAAAAAAAAAAAAAAAAAAAAAATGTCCCATGTTTGCAAGTGTAAATTTGTTTAAAATTCCTCACTTTGAAAACGTTATTAAATTAAATTTCAACACTTTGAGGGAGGAGTTAAAGGACATGACTTCTACACAACAGAATAAAATGTTGCAAACATTGGAACTTCACAAAATTGAAACATCTACACTAAAAGATAAGTTTCTGAGATCAGTTTACAGCAGACCTCGGTTTCAAAACCCTGAGTTGATGTTCCTATTTCTCAGTTATCAAATTCTGATAAAAATGATAAAATTGACAGTCCTAGCTGTAACTCAAACTCAGATTCTGTTTCTCAGTTACCTAACTCAGAAAATAGTGATATAATTTATGTCCCTAGTTCAATTCAAGATTATAATGATATTATGCACCCTGCTCCAAAATATATGTTGAAGAACATCTATCCAACTTCAACATAGATTTCATCACTGTCAATCCTACAGGTTCAAAGAAAACTTCTGATAACCCCTCTAAAATTAATGTCAATCCTGAGGGTTCAAAAAAAATTAGTGATAAATCCTCTAAAATTACAGACAATCCGAATGGTACAAAGAAAACTTCTAGTCAATCTTCTGAAAACTCATCTGTTTTAAGCTCTGCATACAGAATCTATATATTGGAAAGTTAAAAGGATAAATTTTTCAACTCTAATATATGGCATCGTCATGCTATTGTCAAAGACTGGTATTTTAAAACCATGGACAACTACTCTGTTGATCATAGCTGATTTAAATATACTTAAAAAATTTTGTAGCCCAGTGTTTTTTACCAGTTGTTACAGTTTTAAATTGGACTCTCTAATGAATGATTTAAGCACTTTGTATAGAGATATTGAAGACTTTAAATTTAGTATCCTTCGTTTGAATGCTAGAAGCTTTTTCCACAAGATAGATAACCTTGCCTTGTTTACATAATTTTTCTCTTTCAAGTTCTCAGTTATTATTAGTAATACTGAATCTTGGCTAAATGATTGCTCGGCTTCAGTGATGATGTTACCTGGTTATGATTTTATTTTCAACAATCGAGTTAACAGAAAAGGTTGTGGAGTAAGCATGTTTATTTCAGGGAGTTTGAATTTTGAGACTTGTTGTCAGGATAAATTGAATCTTGAATATATTGAATCAATGTCAGTTAATATACACCTAAACAAAAAAAAACAATTAAAATAATTGCCATTTATCATCCTCCTAACACTAACATTGATGAGTTTTTTTAATTTTTTTAAATATATATATATATATATATATATATATATGAAATCTACCGAATTTCTAGCGTTTTTTATTACATTTCGCAATATTTCTAACTAAATTCTTGTCGTCATTATTTATTTTATTAAATAAACTTCCTGACCAAAGTTAATAACTTGATAAACTTTACTCCATCTTTTTCCATTTCAAGCAGTTGATAGCTTCACTGCCATCGGTTGGATTGTTGTTTCTGCTAAAAAGCTAAATTTTCGATTTCTGGTGCAAACAAATTTTGGTCAGGAAGCTGAATTGACAATTAAGAAGACATAATAAAGTCGACAATCTGATGTTGCCGGTAGTATCATCCTTACGAAGCAATGCAAAACAACATAATGTGTCAACGACAGTTATTTTCAAATGATTAACGTTTTATCTTTTTAACAACGACGAAGTCATCTGTTTCTATTTTATTGTTAGTTTTAGCCATCTTTTTACATTTAGAGAATGGTTGCAAACAATTATCCGAAACAATCATTAGGGTCCGGTTAACTGTAATTTACGTATCTCACGCTACGGCATGATTAAACTTAATTTTTCTTTGCTCCTAAATGTAGTTTATGGCTAATTTGTGATTTGTCAACGAGTTGTTGAACGCTTCGTCTAATATCGTCCAGCACATTGCTATACTTTTCGAGATGAATTGACGGACAGAAAAGTAATAATAAAAAAAAAAACATAAAATCATTGTCACTGTAATCCACCAAAACACCGGATTAAAACTTTGCATCAACTACGCCATTGCTTAAATGGCAAACCTCGTTCTCAAAAATAACTGCAAGACAGTTATCTAATATGTTCTTTTATGTGTTCCTATGCAGACTGTGCGCTCCTCAAAACAGAAAATATTGGTGTAAACATAACAACGCTTCCATGCCGTTGAACAATGCACAAACATTCGGCACCATCAAAAAGCACCTCCAACACAACATCACAATCACCAGAGTCACTGACATCCAACATTAAAATCTTTTATTATGCAATTGCAATTATCTTTTTTAATCTCAAACTTTCCTATTTATTTTATATAACAATACTAATATTATTAAGCCATTAATGAATTTAAATATAAAAAACATCTAGGAACTTTTGTTATTTATTATGCACCATATAAATGGAATAATCTGCCATAATATTTAAAATAAATTTATAATCTAACAGAATTTAAAAAGAAGTTGAGAACATTAGATTGTTTAAGTTAAATGTATTAATATTTTATTTTATAGACCCTATTTTATACAGTATTGTATAAATTATACTAAATTGTATATATATATATATATATATATATAATTGCAGCAGAATCACTTACAATGTTACAGATATATTATCTATATATCTTTATTATGTTCTTCATGTCTTCATCCATTGATATGAAGCAGCCATCTTCGCCACAAAAGCTGTTTATCCTTTTCACACGACTTACACATGTATTTTATGTGCACACGCAAGCACCGCATCATATACGCCGAGTAAATGATAGCCATTGAGAGGTTTGACTCAGCGAGCATTTGAACCACTGAGCCCCCTCGCCGGCCAACATGCGACAACTTACGTCGTCTACCCATTTACCAACCTTGAAAGGATGGACAGCTACCCGGATGAACTTGTAGAAACTGCAGGATTCGAACCCGGGTCGTGAGAGTGGTAGACGGACACGCTAACCACTCGACCACGAGACTTTATGTATATATTATTATTATTATTATTATTATTAAAGATCATTTATACAGCGCTAATTAAAAAAGAAAAGAAAATTCTCAAAAGCGCTCACATCAGTAAAACATTATACGAGTGGATAAACAAAACAAAAAAATGTACCAAAAATTTTTTAAACTAAAGAAAATAAATGAGTTTTTAAATCCTTTTTAAAATTGTCAAGAGAAACTCCTGGTATTCTCAGTGGATCTGGCAGAGCGTTCCAAATCATCGGTCCGGCAACAGCAATATCACGCAATCCCGTCTGCAAACGATGAGCTGGTACCATCAAAAGGTTCCTATCATCTGATCTTAAACTGGTGTTCGTGGAGGATGTTTTCTTGACAAACCGATCGGACATATAATCTGGAGCCAAGCCATTTAATGATTTAAATGTTATTAATGCTATTTTATAGACTATCCTTTTATTGATTGATAACCAGTGAAGTTGATTCAATATCGGCGTAACATGATCAAACTTTAGTCTGCCTGTCACCAGTTTAGCCGCACGATTCTGAACTGATTGCAGAATAGCTATTGATGTCTGGGGTAATTTGTAAAACAAGCTATTACAATAATCAAGGCGGGACGTTATAAGAGCACGTACCAATGTTTCTATATCAGCCCTGTCTAAATATCGTCTGACTCTGTACAAGCCTTTAAGATGAGCCAGACTAGAAACTGATATGTTTTTGATATGCTCTTTCATTGTAAGATGAGAATCAAACAAAACTCCCAAATTTGATGCAGTTTTGCTAAAAGTTATTTCAAAATTTTTTACTTTTACAGAGTGAACATCTAGTTTTGATAGCTGCTGCCAAGTGCCAACCGGGAGCAACTGGGTTTTGCACTGATTCAATCTAAGAGAATTGCTTGACATCCAGCGTTCTACGTCCATCAAACATGTAACAAATCTATCTATTTCACGCTGAAACACTTGAGGCCGGAATGTTACAATCACCTGAACATCATCAGCAAACGCATGATAGTTCAATCCATTTGAATTTATTATCTTGGCTAACTCCGCAGTGTATAGCAAAAACAGAATGGGTCCTAACACCGAACCTTGAGGGACCCCAGAAGATACCACGCTTATTTCTGATGAAACATCCTTAAACTGAACTTGCTGAGTACGGTCTAGTAAGTAAGACTGGAACCATGCGTATGCCGAATCACAAATTCCAAAATTATAATATAACTTCTTCAACAATATACTGTGATTGACGCAATCAAATGCCGTTGTCATATCCAGGAATGACAACAGTGAAATATTCTGGGCATCGATTTCTGAAATCAGTTTGGAAAAAACATGTAACAGCGCCGTCTCTGTCGAATGAAATCGCCTGTAGCCTGATTGGTGAATTGGCATAAGGCCGTTTTTTGTTAAATGAGTCAACAGACTTTCAGCAACAACACGCTCAATTATCTTTGAAATAAATGAAAGATTCGATATTGGCCTATAGTTTGAAATATCATTATATATATATATATATATTTATAGTATATTGTGATATATACATATAGTCTAATGTATATACATACAGCATTACACATATATATGCAGTTATACAACACTGAAGCCAAAATTTGTTGTTTGTTACTGTTTAGGAATCAGTCTCAAATGGGTGGCCGTTCACGAGTTTGGACACGTTCTAGGGCTGGCCCATTCCAACATCAGCACGTCCATCATGTTTCCGTACTATCCAGGTTACAGAGATAACTTCTCTCTGAGTTTAGACGACATCAATGCAATTAAAATGTTGTATAAATAAATTATTTGACAAATTTTTTTAAATTTTGACGATGTTCATTTTTTTCAGCTGATAAAAATATGCAAATGTCGCCTGTTCTTATGTCTATTGTTAATATTGCCAGAATAGAATTTCAACAAAAAGCATTTTGAAAATTTTTCTAGTTTAATTATTTAAAAAATTATCAAATTTAATTCTTTGAAAAATATCAAAAATATTATAACTATAAAATATAACGGTATCAAATGTACAGCTAAAAATAATATTAAACAGTGAATGGTGATAAAAAATAATCGTTATAATAATTAACTTGAAGTTACAAAATCGTTATGATTGAATTTGAGTTTATTAGGATTATAAGTCTTTCTAGAAAATCTCTACCGATTGAAGTTAGCGAATTAAATCAAAATTTCTACGTTATACATATGTCTTATCACGTCTGGCTATAAATCACTAAATTAATCTTTCTTTCAAAACAATGAAAAACCATTTAACCGAACTTTAAATATATAGATCAAGTTAAAAATAAACATGTGTATATATGTTTATATGTATATGTATATATATATATATATACATGTATTATATATATATATACATATATATATGTGTGTGTGAGTGTGTGTACATGTGCATGAGTACGTGTGTGTGTTTAACAAAAATTGTGTGTAAATAAAAAAAAAGTTATAAAGTGCTACAAAATAGTGTAAATGTTTTATCAAGTTAATATTTATTTATTACTTTTTTGGCTTAATGGAATTTTTGTTTATACGATCAAAACGTTTAGAAATCAGATAGAACCACAGATGGCTTTGATGCCGTTGATGTCGTCCGGCGAGAGAGTGATGTTTGGCTTGTAACCTACGTAGTACGGACTCATAACAGATCCTTCAAGGTTGGAGTGCAGCAATCCAACGGAATGACCAAATTCGTGAACTGCCACGCCATAAAAGTATATGCCTAGTTGCAAGGTTACAAATCTTATTTTATAGATGGTTAGCCAATGTTTTTCATGAAAGCCAATCATAATTATTGAAGTTTGCATCATTATAATTAACGTTAGGCAGATTTATAAGAAACTTCATTTTTCATCATGCAATCTAACCTGTTGTTCCATTGCTCCAAACTTCATCATCATCAAAATGGATTTGACCAATCTTGGGATAGAAGGTGTGAGCAAGTACCTTCCCGCGGCCATCGAATGGATAATTGTCGGAATGATTCCTTTTATAAAATCTGTTTTTTCGTGTTTTATGCTTGTTTTAAAACTTACACAAACATGAATACTAATTTAAACTGCATTTAGATAATAAACACTCCCAACAATATCTAATTGCCCCGCTTTTCAAAAGTTTCACAACAAGACCAAAGACGTCATACAAACCCGATTTTCAAATTGGCCATTGTAGTGTTGGCTGCTTCTCTGATGTTCAAACTGGTCGAAACCGTTCCGGTCCAGAGCTTATTGTTCCCAGGGTTACATTTTAGGTTATTATTTATATTTTAACTTATATTATAGTTCAAATAGTGAGGTTATTATGAAAAGTAGAAAAATTGAATCGCCAACATGATAACCAACAAATAAACATAATTTGATCCCTATCCAATAATACATTTTATTCATTAAATTAAACCACCATCAAAATAATTAATTTTTACCTAGCATTTTATGTTTCCACAAATATATTACATCAATATATAATGTTGACAGTGGCTGATCTAAACAACTATTGCAAGAGCCGAAAATTTAAAAATGTTTAAATTTTACCGCGGGGGGATACAAAATTTTTAAGGGAGACGAAGATTTGTAGTAGTGTGGCTGAAGACCTTTTATTCGTTGATTTTATACATAAAACTGTCATTTTTCTGACTTTTATTAAGAAACTGTTCACATCAGGAGCCCCCTCGGCCCTTTTAAATCTGCCACTAAATGTTGATAATAAAACTTAATTGGAAATGCCTAGAACAATGTAATTATTACATTGAACGCCTTCTTCACCAATGCTGCTAAATCAGATTTTTTCAGGTTGAAGGTATAATTTGGGCCATTCACAATTATGTACGACAGGTTGCATGTAGGCCATTTGGCTGTGGCATGATGTTACAAATTAATAAAGATTAAAATAATTACATTTAACTTTAATATGACTAAAAAATAATTAATATTTTAAAAAGGTACAAAAGAAAGTTCTCGCTTATTAATGAGTATCTCTTTTGTCGCTCTCCTCTTCTTTCAATATCAGGCATCTGGCATCTTGGAGTATCCAGTAATTTAACCGTTTCATCGCTCTCATAGTTGCCTTTATAAGATAATATTCAATGGCGTTGATTTATTTTTGTATGTATTTATACTTTCACATGAATAAAATACACAGATCAGCAATCATTTTTATTGCAATGAATCAAGGTTTTAATAAATTACTGGAAAGAAAAATTTTTTCAAAGACTCCCCAGAAAACTTTTTTCTTGAAAATTTGTGCCAACTCTTCAGGGCGTTTTCGAACGCTTTTAAATCATGTTTAAGTTTTTCATCAAGGTAGCCATAATTCACTAAATAGTTCTGTTAATTTACATTTTTTAAAAATTAAATCAAAATTTAAATTCAGATCAACGTATTAAATATAAGAGATAAAGTAAATACAAATTTAGATGCAACAGTTTTCTCTATTGAAGTTGATAAACGTGTTTATCCCAAAAATATAAGGAAAACTTACTACATAAGTTTCATTTGCACTTAATTTGAATAATTTTAGCAGTTGAGTGCAATTGTATTAATTATTTTCAAATTCGTCTCCGAGCGCGAGAAGATATCACAATTGAAATAAAATGTAATTTTTTACTCTGATTTCTTCTTTAATGTTCCTTACGGTTACGGGTAAGGCGTGAAGTAGAAGAACGACCTGCAGACTGCACAATGTGAAACAAAGTATCCTCATCCTAATTTCCTAAAAAAATTAGCAAAACCTATTCATTTTAGGCATTAATTTCAAGTTCTTTACCTTTTATAATGACAAAATCAATACTTCTGTTCTTTTGACTTTTGTTAAAATAAAGAAAAAAATTAGTTTACTAGGTCCGTAAAAAATGTTGTACCGATCTTGACGTTGTTTTAAGTTTGATCAATTTCTTCTTACATATATACGCACTTTATTGAGCTTTATATGATTGTTGCCTTGTATTATTGTTGTCGTTGTTCTGATTGAGCGTCATTAATATTTTAAAACACTCATTGTAAAAGTTATTCATTTTAATTACGCTACTTTAAGATTAATATGCACATAAATATTCATAATTTACAACAATCAATCAACCATTAAAAGCCAAGTTCTCTATTTGAAATATAACTGGTAATAAATCAAAAAGTGATTTATTTTGTAGTTTTATTTGCGTTTCAACTGGTAAGAAAATGTAACAAATCTTTCATGCTAATTAAACTCATACGACGAACTCAAAATTAATTTTGGAATTTCGCTAATTGTTTGAGACCGTTGCACCACGTTTTCGTTACACAATTGCCAGCCTCAGCCAATAACAGAGCTAATAATTTTTACACTTTTCTAAAACTAATATAATACTTCTTACTTGATCACGGCGATATATTTGGCAAAATAGTAGAGAAAAAAGCGCCGACTTCAGAAGAGACAACACATTGCAGCGCGGGAAGCAAAATATATTTTAACTTTTAAATTCAGTGCTAATTTTCTTGGTCGCTAACATTTTGCTTTTATTTTTTTATTCAAGTGTAAAATAATAAAATTATTTTATAAATTTCAATTTTGAACTTGATGCGAAAATAAATGAAAAATTGACAACTTTTGTTCTAATATGGAGGGCAAAGGTTCGACCACTATAAATTAACATGTGCCCTGTAATAGTCATGCTTGCAGACTCGGTACCCATGCTTGTATCGTTGACGTCGTGATGGCATTTAGCTAAAGGTATGTCTCGAATCGTAAATTTCGTTATCAATTGAGAATTCATGGAATTTCTTGTGTCGTTTTTCAAACGAGACGACTTTCAAAAATTTCGAGTTACGACCGATACTTATTTTCATGGGTTTTTAAACAGTAACTTTTTCATCATGTTCATTTGTGTTCTCAGCTAAAAATAGTGGTAGAGTTAAATACATTAATTTAAATAGAACGTTAGAAGTAGATTTGATTTTTTACAGAAGTCGAATTTAACCAGATTTAAAAAGAGAATTCCGGCCGAAGCCGGGTTTGTGCATTTGAAACATTTTATAATAAAACTTCATTTGTCTCAAACTCAGCATAAAACTTTGTTGTATTACATTCATATCAATAAATAACTCAATAAATTAATTTAACTTTAATACTAATTGAATATACCTTTTTACCGATTTTTGTAAATACATTATATACAAACATATCATACATGTGAAAGCAAACATGCTTTAAAACATACGTACATAATGAAAATAAGCACCACACATGCTAACACATGGTACTGCTTGGTGTTAATATCTGGTTATTTAAAGGTAATTAAGATAATCAAAATAGTCAATAATAAATTTTGAATATGAATAATATGTATATATATTAATCGTTTTTGTGATTTATCAAAATATTTTACTAACGATTTATCGGGTTTTGTATTTTTTAGTTTTTTCATTCGACGCATGTTGACCACGTGTGAAAAATGTCCTACTTTTTGATGTTCTATTCATATTTCAACATTATACAATATACAGTGTTAAAAAAGCATCCGTCGAAAAAATAGTGTCGCTTAACGAGTTTCAATTTTGAAAATTTGAATCGAGATCTCATATCGTATCTTTATTTTTGACGTCGTCTCGAATCGTCTTGTTTCGTTTGAGGCAAAATTTCGATATCGTATCGAATCGTACCGTTTCAAAATAATAACGAGACGCAGATGCTTACATTTAACTTTTTACTGTGTGTACTTAAGCGTAATAAGTTTTATGGAGCGTCCTACATGTAATTAATAAGCACATTGTTAAATGGTGAAAAATGTTTTTGAACGCTCTGAAATGGCGCTAATTAGGTACTGGTTATTGATCGGTGATAATTGAATTTAATGCATGCACTTGGTCTGAGTTAAATGATTTTGTTACCTTTTTTAATAAAGCATGAAGTACAAAACTAATTTAAAATATGACTCAAGTGCATTAAATCATTTCATAACTTTTTCATTTGTTTCATTGCGTTGACAACAATTTAATGTTAGTTCACATAACACCATATACATATATCTATACAATGTTTCAACACATAATAACATTGAATAAATGCTTTTATAGACGAGTATGCTCGTAAAAAGTGTTCAACTTCAAATTAACAATTTAAATTAAAAGTAATAAATTTCCATGGAAACCACATTCAACTATATTTTAAAGAAAATTATTTAAACTATCTTCAATTCATTTATGGCCCATTATAAAAATTATTTTTGTGTAGCAATAGAGTGCTACACAGTACCATTATGTTGGTGGTGATCAAAAAATTTTATTCTGTAGGTGTTTGTTAAATTAAGTAAATGAACAATACCAGAGTTACTGGGACTAAAGCGTTCTTGCATACGTCGAGGCAGAAGATAAAAAGTTCCGTTAGTAACAAAAGTAAAGAAGCTAAATTTGTCCGCACTAAAAACTTGCACACTCTCCACAAAAAAAGCCATATCAAAAAAGCACAGGATCTTTCAACCGTTTGTACAATAAACTTTTTCCATTTTTGAAAACATTTATCTACCTGAAATTTATGTTTTTATTATAATATATGTAAGAAAGAAAATTAAATGTTGAAGTCAAATAAGCTATTAAAAGACAAATTTTTAGTTTATAATTCATATCTTACTGAAAGTGATAAACTAAAACCTGAATATCGAATGTAAGTTAGGTTGATAAAGTAATAAATGAAAACCGCGCGTTGGATTAATACAATAAATTACGCTTTTGACAAATAAATGGGATTGAAAATTTAACAAAAATATTGAAAATCAGCTAATGACAAATATTTAAGGCGGATTACAGAAATTTGTACCAGCAGGAGGTTTCAGATCACATGACAACAAAGAGAGCTCTTTTGCATATGCAAGAAATCAATTCAAATATGATTAAAGAATCTGAAAAAAAAGAAGAGTATTATCTGAATCTTGTAAAAGAATTAACTGAGCAAGTAAGTTCTATAGTTACATTTCTTCATTGTAGTAAAATTATTATTATTCAGTGGCTGCGAGACTCCCCTCTGAACTGGTCATGATTCAGACAAAATATTGTCCAATCTGACTTGAAACGTCCTACTGTTGGAATATTTATTGATCCATCCTAATATTTTTTTTAACCCGTAGTGACTTGAGAACGATATACGACTATGCAAGACTTTGTCGAATGCCTTTTCCAGATCCATGCACAAACTCTGTCAACTCCCTCTGTTACCGCTTCTAAAAATATCAAAAGTGGTAAAACTGCGGAGCGATTAGGTATGAAGCTGAACTGACTACCTGAAAAAAGATTATTATTCTTGAAATATCTTCTAATATGATCTTTGACAATGCCTCCGTGATCTTACAGCAAATTGACGTGACACAGAACGATAATTCTGTACAAGATCCTTGCGGATTTTTTTGTACTGAGATATCACTTGACTCAATCTCCAATCTCTCTTATCCTGATACTAATAAAATCTCTCATTTCCCATAAAACTCTACTGACTTGTATGTCTTCATAGATGAATTAATTTTGCAGATTTTGCAGAATTAATTTATCATCTGTTCGATTATTATCAAATCTTTCATCTTTATAATTGAACTTTTATAAATGAGACACTTTTTTATCTCTATTTGGAACAATTTACCGACATGAGTTGTTGAATCAGATACTGTTTCCAACTTCAAGAAGAATTTTGACTTACATATGGCCAATAAAGATTTTCTCTATGATCATAAAATTGACATTGTTGTTTGATTGCTTTTCGTTGTCTTTTAGTGCTATTTTGATATGGGCATATATAATTTACGTTTAAGCCCATTATTTATTTTTATTTATTATTTATTGTTATTTCTTCTTCAAATACCGAACAAATAGAACTAGCAAATATTTCGACTTTTTCCTTTCCATTGGTAAAATATATAAAATATAAAACACAAATATTTTAGTTATGACATAGCAACATTATAGTTTATAAGAAATGATTATTTTTTCCTGTGTCCAAATAGCGCTTCTAATTGATGTGTCTTTATTAATTCTTCACTCTAAAATTATTTCAGAATGTGGGGCGGCTAGAGGCTTAACGTAAAGATTAACTGCAAGCTGTTAAGATTTTATTGTAATTTTTTGATAAAATGTATGATGAAAGATCATAAACTCGGATAAATTGATTAAAAATTCTCAAAATATGTACAATATCTTTAATTTTTTACACAATTGAAAATCTAATTGAAAAATTGTTATTCAGTTGAGAAAATTTTAACTATTTAAAATGTGCAACATGAACATTAACATTATTTAGCATATATATATATATATATATACCAATTTTTAAATAACAATTGAATTTTTTATAACATTTTCTCAAAGCACGAGTCTGTACTGAAAGAGGTTATCCGAGAAAAGAACAAAAACATCAGAGATCTGCAGTTTGATTTCTACAACTCACAAATAAAAGTGAAATCATTAAAACTTCAAATAAAGAACATTTTCACCGAAAACTCCAAGTTCTTATTAAAAATTATTTTCCAAATAATTTTCATGCCATTATTTTTTCATACTAATGCATTCAATACAAAATAGGCCTTGAACATTTTATAGCTGTTAATGTCATTTAGTTTTGCCGTTTTGGAAAGGCCAAATCTGACAATCTGCATAAGAATATTTTTTTGCCATCCGATAAAATGCTGATCAACTTTTTACATTGAGAGTGTCGAACATATCCGTAACTTGCATCTACTTCTAGCAATCTATCGCAGCATAAAACTTTGAAATGAGTTGATAATATATTGTGTTTGGAAAAACAGAAGTCAGCAAACCATTTTTCCTGACGAAAGGTGATGTAGATGAGAGGTTCAAACACGGCAACATAGATGAAGAAAATTAGTACAAAATATTCAAGAAAAAGTCATACCAGTAAATTGGAACGTTAGGAATTGGCCCATAATCAAAAAAGAGTAATGACTTAAAAAGCTGTTAGCTCGTAAGAGAGTTAGGGAACAATATCGAAAACATTAAATGAATCATGCAGTTGATATAGAGGATGAATATATAATAAGCAACTAATTTATATTAGTGTTTGTGGAAAGTATTTCCAAGTTGGCCACTATTTTTATATAAAGAACACCTGAACATGATATTGGAAGACCAAGCGGTAAATAGAACACTTAGCGTTACCCTTAGGGCGGCGTGATGGTCTAGTGGTTAAGATCGCCTGGTGCTGTTCCGCAGTAACCGGGTTCGAATATGGCAAATAATCCTCGCCGTGTGTGAAGCGTCGTTTAGCACATATTCATAAATGATGTTTGTGCGTGATGTTGGTTCCTCTGAACTTTGGAAGAGTTAAATAGACCTTTAATCTTATTTAACCTTTACCTCAAGCGATATTTGTTGAAGTGGACTTACAACATAAGAAGAATGTGAGTTTTGGACGGATTACCCGTATCAAAATTACAGGGGAATTTGTGAAAAATTATTCCGGGAATGAGATCTTTTTTTCTTTAAAACAAATTTACCCCCAAAAGACTATCTTTTATACATATACAATACTGAAAAAATTGAATAATTGTAGATGAAAAAATTGAATAATTGTTATCGAATTAAAATTTTATTTCATCCAGTTTTATAGTGTATGTATTTTATTTAAATTAATAAGAATGCTAATAATATAATTGTTTTGTTTGTAATTTTGAGAAATAAAAAAATCTAGCGAGAAAACGTGTGAATGAGGTAAAAATAGGGAAAAGGATTTTTAAAGAACGTTGTTATAAATGGAATTTGGATGTGTTATAGGAATGACTCAAAAAATCGAGAAGGTACCCGGTAACAAATTTCAATTCTCGCTTAACTCAACGTACAAGAGATCTTATTTCTTATTTTGTCTATTTAATATTTTCTGAGAAGGTACTTTCAAAAACTAAGGCATGGCGACCTCCATATTTTCCAATTTTATTTTGCATCTTCATGGCTCCGCTATATAGACCTGAAAAGATATAAAATAAAAACAATATCTAGGTCCTTCTTGGATAATTTTATCGTACATGAATTATACGCAGTCGACAGTCTTGGTAGAGTACTAAAAATTCTGAACATCGCGTCCTCGATAATACAGCTTCATAAGGAAAGCAATTGTGAATTAAAATTATAGTTGATTATTTAGCATTTTTGTTGAGAATAGGAGAAAGATTAGACAATAAACTCAGTCATCTCGAAACGAAGGAAATAGAATTGGGAAAAAAGATGCAAAGCACTGACTCGGCATTAATCAATGAGATGAGAAAAGGCCTGGTAAAGCTGAATTTCAATCCAAAATAGGCCCTAACAAGAATAGCTTATAACTTGGCATGTAATAAAAGCAGCGAACGTTGCCTGCTACTGACTGTGAACGCACTACATTGGTAGTGTATTCAATAATCCATATGATGATTTTGGACGTTGAAAAGTTGGCAAAAGATATTTATTTTATTATATTCTAATATAAATTAAAAATTGTTTTTAGACTTAGAAAAACTCAAATTGAAGACTTGCAAAATAAACTGGATGAGCTATACATAGAAAACGAAGAGCTGAAAAAACAGATGAAGAGTTCAGTCGATCATCCACTGTAACATGCGTGTACACGTACATTTTCCATTTTGTTGATACTATATGTGACGTCACCATTGTAAACATTTTTTAATATTTTATGTATAATAACCAACAAAGAATTTACATAAAATAATCTTAACAAATTTTCTAAAAAAAAATATTACCGATATTTACCAAACCACAAAAAGTCATAGGGACTAGCCCATTGTTTACAGCCCATTATATTATTTTTAAGACAATATTCAAACGAAAATGGATTTAAATTGTTTTCCCTTAATGCTTCAGCTCCAAGTTTTTCTTTTTCCAAGATTTCTTGACTAACGACATCCGCCTTGAATGGTAATTTGGCAGCAACCCTTTTTAAAATTGGATAGGCTTCCTCAAAGCCTATTTTCCCACCAAATTCCAAAATTATTCTTCCAGCTTTCACTGGTGTGACATAATGATCAATGTTGCCCTTTCCTCCACCCATCCTATGTCCTTGTCCTTTTTTTGTAATTGGTTTCCAAGGGTTGTCAATTCTCCACAAGGCAAAACATCTTGATTCATTCATTTTTCTGTTAATTCCACTACGCATCATTTCAAAATGTCCAAACCTAAGTTGCCCTCCTTGTAATGCCTTTAAGTATGAGAAATAAATTTAAAAGTTGAAAAATTATATTAGAAAATATGTATACCCTAATTCCATACTGCTTGTGTAATAAATATGTCAAAGTATCTTCTGGTCCTCGAATATCAATCAATTGCTTTGGCATTTTTCTTATTTTTATGCCAAATAAAGGATGAGGTGTTTTTTCCACAAATTTCAATTTTCGTTTTTCAGGAAATTCTATTTCTAATGCATAATAAATATACTTTCACTGAAGTTTATAGAATAGGCTACAATTTCAGAAATTAACTTGAACAAAGAACAAACTTTCAGGAAAAGTCTCAGGTATCTGGAAGTCCCTGACAGGTGGTACCAATACTTTGTAACTTCTTGAATTTATACATTTTGAAACTGCTGTAAAATGTTTCATGTTTTCTTTCTTTACAAACACTAATTCAATTGTTAATAGCATACAAAAAATAATTGAATTATTTTAAATTAAAAACAAAAAAAATGATAAATCTGCAGTCAACATTTGAATGATTCATTATCAAATTAAAAAATTTTGTTTCACTGTCAATGCACATTATCCTCAAGTTAAAAGCCGCATGTTTGATACTACAAAAGCCGCATGTTTGATACCACTATGCGACATGCAGTGGCATAATTTATTTTGAGTAATCAAAAGTAAACTTTCAAATAAGAACCCACCAACCATTATCCTTACAATTTGTTACAATTTGAAAAAACTTATTTTGAATAAGTAAAAATGAAGACAGCACAAGGCTAAATAAATTAAAGTGAACCTATACCTCAATAACGGTAAATAAATAAATTGTTCATTATGTATAATTTTTTTTATTAATTATTGTTTTAGATAAATTTTTAAAATGAATTAGGATTTTTCTATTTCAAAAATGTAATGTTAGGGCATAACTTTTCAACAAACGCTTTTATTCAAATTTGTCAGCTAACTTCAGTGCCTAAGTGTCTCGAAGCATGCAAGTACAAATAAATGTGGTAAATTGTGTTTCAATACCTACTAGAATTTACATGCTAAGACACATTCAAATAACTACATAGAATTTATTTAAATGCCTACAGTACAAAAGCATGCAAAAGTATGCGTTTACTTTAATGCCAACAATGTATATATAAACTTTCTCTTTAAAAACATACAAAAATTATGATTTTAACCCAACAACAAAGTTATTAAATAATTGATGACAGTTGAAAAAATGTTTTAATAAACTATTTTTAAAAATTATTTTCAGTTTTTTATTTTAAATCATAAATATTTTTAGAATTCTAATAATTATAGTCTTAATAATATCAATTCACTGTTAGACATTTATGTTTTAACCTACTCACTTTAACTTATTATCTCAAATTTCATTTACATTAAGGCACTAATAATGTAATGTTTTTCAAATAACTCTCTAACTCTAATATGCCTAATAATCTAATTCTACTAATTTTAATGCTAATCTACTAGCTACACTTACACTAGACTAGACTAACAGTAAATACTAACAATGCTGACATAAATATATTAACAATTTTAATATGCTTATAAATTTTTACTTGTAAGTGCCAAATTTAAACTGGGTTTTTCCATGCAAGAGTTTATTTTATAGTTTATATATAAAGATTCAAAAAAAAGGCAGGTCATGATTTTTTATTTAGAAATTTCATATACTATAAGTAAGTTCTTAGTTAGGGTTAGGCTGTTAGGGTAAATAACTAATAACAAATAAGTATACTATAAAATTTATATTTATTTATACTTTTTAATAGTTTACTTATTAACCCTAACAACCCTAAGAACACAATCTTTGTACTTTACTTGTTTTTATTGGTGGGATATGCCTCTTTAGCTTTTGTCTTTATATATTTATTTTATAATATTTTATAATATTATTTATAATTATAAATTAAACTAGCAGATTTTTCAAATTTTTTTTTGTATATAAACCACTTTTTCTTATAAAGCAAAATTTGCTGATTAAAATAATACCAAATTTATTATTGTAGCATTTATAGTTACCGAGAAAACGAATTTTGAAAGAACTATAAAGTAATCAGCTACTGCATGGAAAAACCCAGGACGGATCTCTGATTTTGTCGTTTTTTAAACCGACTTAACCAACTTTAAAATGTTTTCTTTTCATTAATTGCGTTTTCACTCACCATGAGTTTAACTATAAATATTAATAACCTCTATTTAGTAGACAAGAACCAGCCATTGAAACGAGTGAAACTAATAGGCGAAAAGTTAGAAACGGATTATAATGGTCTATACCATGGATATGTCTATCTTTACTTGGAAATAGAATATCTAAACATGCCATCGAACACACCCTAAATATTTTCAGTGTGTTTGGTCTCACTTTTTAGTTATTTTATTCATAAAATTTTACCAATTTCAAATTTTTATACTATAGTAATAATTTTCATGCTGTTTTTTAAAATTTTATTTGTATTTATTATATAGTAATTATTTTATTTCATAGTTTTGTAAAATATTTCAGCACATTTTAGTTTTTTTTGTCTGGTATCAAAGACCATTATTATTATCACATCTCTTCATGATTAATAATTATTGATCTTTATATTTATATAGGGTCTCTATTTATATGGGCTTTATCAAGAGGCGGTGTTAATTAAGGATTCTGAAAGCTTAATGGAATTCAAGTAATATGCTAATTACCCCTTAGCAACAAAATGCTTATCACCACTTAGAAAAAATATGCTAATTACTCCTTAGAAAAAATTAGCCAATTACTCTTTAAGACGCAATATGCTAATTACTAAGTTTTGCAATTTTTTAACAACCCTAGCAAACTTATTGAAAATATAATGAAAATACCCAAAATATACATCACATTTTCAAACGTTCAACATTTCAAGAAACACCAATGTTTACTTAATCTATATCTCAGCAAGCAAAATTCTAATCCACACAACAAATTTCAATATTTTTAAAATATGTGTGTTTCGTAAATCATGCTGAATTGATTTTGTTAAATTCAGTTTTTAAAATATTTTAACATCAACCATTAGCCCATACAATAACAATTATAATTAGTTTTTGTAATTAATTGCAACTTGTTACAACTTACAATAGCTTATGAGTGAAAGTGTTCATGACAGCCAGAACAGCAAAGTCTGTTTGCGCCCACTCTCTCTCTACCTACCAATGTGATTAAATCTTTTGTTATCAATTTTATTTGCATAAAAACGGTTAACAGTATGCAAACCCATTACTTTTAAAATGAAACAATTTTACTAAATTTAACGAACAATCTGTATTTTACATTCAATATTGACAGTAGTATCATATTATAAAAGTACTTTTCGTACAAATCCTTTAGAACCGTTGTTATTAAAAAAACTTCTGAAAAAGTATAATAATGAGTTTTCAAAGTTTAAAAGTTTTTCATAATCATTTCGGTGCCCCTTATTCTCCGGCGCCCTAAGTGGCCGTATTTTTTCCTGCCATCGGTGCGCCGTTGATGGAAAATCAATGTCATCTGAATATATTTCAAATTATTTTTATTATAAAACTATATTTTCTGTTTGTTAAATAAGTTTTGTTAAATTTTATCTATTTACTTTTTTATAATATAAAAAAGTTATCCTTTGTTCACAGTATCGGATTGCAAATCCTAACGATTAATACTAACAATCCTAAATAATAAATGTAAACCCCACGAGCTAACAAAGTGATTTGTGCGGGCTATATAAGAGACTGCGACAACTTTTCTGATAGGTATTCGGGGTGCTGATGAATCCCCGGTAGGGATAAAACACGTGTCCAGTCTATCCAAACGAGTACTACTCTTTTCTTCTCCCGGTCACTGCTCTTCCTGGTTTGGTGTTCTCATGCATTCGCGCAACCCCAACAACTGTCTAATGGCATGTTTGATTGTTTTTATTGAAATATGACAAACGTTATTTAAAATCAAATTATTATCAATGAAATAATTTAAAAAACAATATAAAACAAGATTGAATTATTTAAAAACGATATTGATTTCAAATTACTAGCAAAATTTTGACTAATATAGCAGTAACTAAAATTAAAATGTATTAAAAAATGAACCGTATGTACAAAATGGTAACTCAAATAGAAATAAATAATAAAAATAAAATAATAAATGAATAAAAGTAATGAAGAAGCCGCAAATCAATATGCTTCAAAACGACCAACCATAATTGTAGCTAAAGTAGTGAAGAAAAACAAAAAATTTTAAATTTATAACGCTAAATTGGATTCAATAAAACAATATTCCCGTAAATGGCAAAAAATTAGTTTTAATGAGTTTACTTAGCATTTTGGAAGACAAAAACAAAACAAACCAGTTCTATATATTTTTTCAACTGTCTGTCTACTTCTTTATTTTTATCTACAATGTAACTGTCTATCTGGTCAGTCCGTCATCTCTTTGTTTTTACTTGCCTATTTCTTTCCTTCTGTCTGTTTTTTTGTGTCTACCTGTTTGTTTCTCTGTTTTCTTGTTTTTTTCTGTATATATTTTTGATTCTTTGTTCTTTCTGTCAGTCTGTTTTCTGTTTTAATTTGTTTTATTGCATTAATCTGTCTGTTAGTTTTCCTGACTCATTTTGCGAGTCTGCTTCTTTATTTTCTATGCCTGTTATTTTGTTTTGATCTACCTTGTGTCTGTTTTTTCTGCCTTTCACTTTGTTCCTGTTTTACTGTTTTTTTTTTCTTTTTTTGTCTGATTCTTTGTTTTTTGTCTGTCTGTCCATTTGTTTATCTAATTTTTGTTTTCATTTTTTTCTGTTTTTATGTCACCCAGATTTTGCCGGTCTGTTTGTTTCTTTGGATATGTTTTTTTTTTTTTGTGGGTTTTACGCTTTTGTCAGTATGTCTGTTTTTATGTTTTTTCTGTCTAAGTTTTTTTTTGTTTTTTCTATATGTTTATTCATTGTTTCAGTTTGCCTGTTTGTCTTTTTTGTTTCTATGTTTCTATTTATGTTTTTTTTTTACTTTAACTTTTTCTGCTAATTTGTTTCAATTTTTTGTCGGTTTCTCTGTTTTTTTTTTTTATGTCTGTCAGTCAATCTGTTTGTCGGTTTTTGTTTCTGTCTGTCTGCTTTTTTTTTCTTTCTGTGTCTTTTTGAATGTTTGTTTTTTTTGTTTTGTCTGTTTTTTGTCTTTGTATGTTTCTATATCACTACCTGTTGTTTTTGTTTTTCTGTTTTATATCTTTTTGGCTATTTCTCTGTTTTTGCCTATTTTTTTGTGTCTGTCTATTTATATGCTCTTTTATTTCTGTCTCTTACTTTGTTTCTGTTTTCTTATTTCTTTTTCATCTGTTTGTTTGTTTTTTCCGTTTGTCTGTTTTTTGTATTTGTCTGTCTTTTGTTTTTGTCGGTATTTTGTTGTTTTGCCTGTCAGCCAGTTTTTTGTTTTTTTATTTTTTTTAAATCTGTTTTTTGTTCTGTCTTTTTTATTTTGTTTGCGTCTATTTAAAAATAGAGTTTTGTCTTTAATTACACCAGAATTTTTATTGATAATGTAATCAAATGAATTGGGGAAATGACATCAAAATTTAGCTTCAGATAAGTAACAGATCAATTGAATTAATCCTGAATTAATTTGGTACCTGATTTACCTGATTTACTGGTTTAATCTGGTAAATCAGGTACCAAATTAAATTGGTACCTGAATTAAATTGGTGATTGGTAAGCAGAGCTTTGTGGCATTAGCTTCTAGCCTCTTACAGTGTGAAATTCGTCAACGTGTAAACTATGTTTAGCTTCTTCAGTTGCACTGTTCAGATATAAATCAAAGATGTACTTGTTGCATCATGTCTATAATAAAAAAATAATAAAGATAGAATACTACTTTCACTACCAATACTAATACTACTAATACTGCTACTATTACTACTACTGCTACTACTTTTACTGTTACTACTACTACTACTACAACTGCCACCATTTCTACAACTTATAATGGTTAACGTTTTAATAGGTTAAAAGTTTCTGTTTGAACTGTTTTATTTAGTCATCGACTGTAAAAAAAAATGGAAACAGCTTTTTATTGAGTAAAATGGAATTTTATTTATCGAATAAACTTTTTAAAGAGGTAATTTGCTTTAAATATTAAATTCAATTAATCAGCAATCAGTCAGTCAATCAACCAACCATCCAACCACCCAACAAACAAACCAACCAACCAACCAGCCAACCAACCAACACACCAGCCAACCAACCAACCAACCAACCAACCAACCAAACAACCAACTAGCCAATCAATGTTTTATTTAATAAAAGGGAGTGTTTTAAGGCTCGCTGCTTTCATAACAAAAATGACAGTACGTTTTTAATGTAATTTGAAAACTTACATAACCAATACTGTTAGAAGAACTTTCTCAAAAGAAATATCTTTTTCTAAAGTATTCATTAAGAAAAAATACTTTTGATCTGGAAAAATTGTCCAATGGATGAAGTTTGAAACAAAATTGAGCGGCGGGAGACATCGCTAAAGATCAACATCATAAATTGAGACATCATTCAATTCGTTGACAAATTTTGGATCGCGTATGAGCCCCTACTTCTGAGTTGCTGTGATTGGGTTAAAATGCAGAACTGGTCCCCCTGGTCCCCGCCTCTCAAGCAGGATAAGTACTGCACGTTTATTGACGTCCATTAATAATACATTAACTAGGATAAATGGCTGCACCCTCATTAGCTTTAACTTAATTTTTAAAGAAGAAAAAATTTTTTTATAAATCTGTGCGATATCCTTAATAATTTTTCGCAAAATGATTTTACGCGTTTATATATTTTTTTATCCTTTTTAATGCAGATCTGTCAAACAAAAAACTGCTTACATGTTATTCTATGCGTAAAATTAGACTTTCCAGCCACAAAGACTGCGCTATTCACACCACACGACGTACAACATTCACATTTATGCACATGCAAGCACCGCATCTCACACGTGTGGTAGTTTTTTAGTGTCGGTCAGACAGTATTCGAAACAACCAGGCCATCACGTAATAACGTGAGACGTGGCATTTCTATAAACTGAGCTAACTCAGAGGTCGTATATTTCAATAGTTTTATTTCCTCTACATTTTTAAAAAATCAATCAAGAAACTTTCAAATTAAATGAAAAATTTTATTTTACAACGCCTGTTTCTAATATGGATAAAGCTAAAAGATATCGTCAAGAAAATGAAATGAAATATCAAATACGAACAAGTCAAGAAAACACGATTAAACAGAGTTCAGTGTTACCATAATGCTGTCTTTGGAATATTTAAAAAAATTTTATTAAATATTCCAATTCTATATATACCATCTAAAAAATAATTAAAAATGAAAATGTTTAAAACTAATTGCAATAATAAAAAAATTATAGTTAAAAAATCAGTGATTCTAAACGGATCGAGTCAAATTTTATAAATTTATCACAGTAAAAAGGACGTGAGTTAGCACGGTGACAAAGTAACAACAGTGCGTCAGATTAACTAATAATGAGATACTCAAATACGTTGTTCCTTTTGAGAACCCTGATTTTGTTTGATGTTGTAGGCCCACTCCCCTCTTGAGAGCCTGGTTGCTGCTGTGCTCCGTCAGGGACCATGTTCTTTGAGTAGGCTTCAGTTCTGTGAACAGAGCGATCACGAATGAAATGAAATGTACTGATCTATTGATGAAAATAGATATTCATTTTGAAACCATTCATGTTCACCACACATTATTTTTATAGTTAATATTTCTCTGACAAACTGGTTCAAACTTTTTTTTAATTCTACATTTCCCCATCCGACGGCGAACCCGTTGTCAGCTGTCACGTTGTAGACACCAAAATGTTTTTCTTGAACTGGTTTCATGATCAGAGAAGTTTCTAGCGTTCCTCCAGCTGTCTGCACGTTTTAATGTTTCATTCTTTGATAAACATATTATACTAATTATTAATATAGTGTAATAATATTATTTATATTGTAATATTAGCATATATTGTAATATATAAATTATCATACAGTTATAATATTATATTAGTAGCTATTTTGTTATGTCAGTTGTTATAATGCTATTTTAGTTGTTGAAGTATGTTACGCAAAAAAACGCAAGATTCAGCAAAGTTGACACATTTACAAAACAAATTGTTCAAAACAAATAAGTCATTTGCAATGACCAATCCAGAATTTTGTACTGGGGTGGATGATTTTAAATCCTTAAGCTGACGACCGTTTTTTTGCTTTTTACGTAATTCGGGTTTTTCCTGTTTTTGTTGGCAGAGTGATTTTCGAAATTCTTGAGCTAGTGACTTGTTTTTGCTTATTTTTGTATTTTAATTTTATTTTACACAGAATTTTCAACATTTTTCTTTTCCATGGTCTTGTGGTGGATGGATGTCCGCGTCCCTCTGGATTCGCCACTGGTCTTTTGTCTAAATATAAATAACCCAAATTATTTTTATATTTAAACTTATAATTGAACGAAATGTACAACCAATATTGTGATTATTTAAATTAAGCACTCGTTTTGTTTTAAATAATATTTTTATAAAAAAAGTGTGGTTTTTTTTTGTGATGTTATGCCTAAGATTACAAATAACATGCATCTCATATCTTGCTCTGCGAAAGACGCTATGGGATTATTTTGTTGTTATAATTTAAAATATTAAAGTAAAAATAATAATTATTCTTATTTTTGTTGTTGTTTTAATAAGCATTTTCTAAGCAAATTTTGCATCTTCAAACGATTGATGTCGACCGCGGACTGCAACTCATGAATTGTGATTTTAATTATCTGATTTCCATGCTTAAGGTGCCATGCGAGGAGCTTGCCCTTGTTTTTGTTATTATTGCAACGAAATTATTATTAACAATGTTTTAATAAGAATAACAGATATGATTCGTCATTTATGACCAACGGCGTCCTATGGCGTCAGGTGCGCTCAGATTGAACTGCCATCGTTATCACAACCAAATGCCTGACGAAAAACAAAACAAGTTGTGCTTCAATTGTTTGATTTAGTGTTGATTGTTTTCTGACAAAAGAGGGCATGTTGCTTCACAGAGAAGGAGCGCATTGAAACTCCGGTTATATTTCGCTTGGAAAGCAAGAAACTGCAAACGAGCGAGAGCAACACAAGCGAACACTTGAAGGATGTAGTTCTATATCCAGTAAAATTCAAATTTTAATGCCTATCACAGTTTAAATTTATTTGACGTTTCTCTATTTGAATTATTCCTGTTATTCTGTTTTATAAATTACATAATTTTTTTCCAATTTTGTCATAAACGTTGCATTACGCACAGGGATCAAACTTTACTAATCGACTCGAACGTTGTGCTGGAAACATTCACGTCAATATATCATCACACTCAGCAAGAGAGGTTGCAGACCCCTAAAACTTTTCAACCACTGTATGCGAGATATTGCATGGGCTGACCGTGACCAGTGACCACATATCTTCATTCAACATAAATGAGACTAACAATTATAACAAAATTCATGATATACAAAACCTTGGCAAAATTCAACAAAATTTTTTATATTTGGTTGATAAAATTGACTAATTTATCAAATATTTACAATTTTTTGCTTTAAAAATAAAACAACTATAAGCCGCATTAGTAAAATTATTAGTTTGAAAAATCTTGATAAAATTCTATTGACTACTACATAGGTGCTAAACAAATCTAGAAAAATTTGAAAAACATTATGATTGGGCGATACAAGTAAAAAGTATGGCAACCTCTTTTGTTTAAGAAAATTTCACAAAAAAGACTTGTACTTTCAGTGGTGGATCAACTTTGGGAGGAGGCCAAGAACTTCAAAAATATTTGATTACCGAGAGAGAAATTTTCTAATTTCACCAAACTATTCGACGATCGGAGGCGAGTTTATAAAAAAAGTTGGTGACAGGGGATTTTCGAAAATTTTTTTCGGAATTTTTTTAAATGTTTTCTGGTAATATGTGAAAAATTTTACGTACTATCTGTTTTTGGCCTTATAATGCCAATTTTTTTTCAAAATGCTACTTTTTCAGTTAAATCAAAGACTTTTACTAACTTTTAACACAAGTAACGCTAACAACGCCAGCGGCACTGCTCCCCAACTTTAGATCCGCTACTGAGAACTTTGATTTTATTTTATTCAAACGAAAGCGGTGGCAAAACGAAATAATGCCATCAAGTTTTCTATTTTTTAATCAAAATGAATTGAACGTCCTTAAACATCTCAATTTATCGAAAGTTTTTAAATTACTAAGAATATAGCATTAGTAGCATTGATGTGCACTATATAAAAAGAAATGATTTTTTTGAAAATTTTGGAGACTATTGAAAACAAACAAGTTTGAAGATTTTATCAGAATATCAAATCTAGAGACCTCGCTGGTGGACATTTTGTTAATCATATGAAAATATTTGTTTGAAAAATGTTTTCTTCTTTAGATTAAACCAAAAACAGCTTAACAAATAAATTATTTTCAATATTTCTCAAAATTTTGAGTTCGCAGAGGAAACTATAGCCATATTTGAAATCAGTATATTGAATTCTCTTGTCGTTCTTTATAAAAACACATATAAATCAGAAATTTTAAATAAGCTTATAATAATAATAATAATAATAATGAGCTGTGATGCAGTTTTTGCATTGTGTCAGGATGCATTAGTAGCAAAACTGTAACGGCTTTAAATTATCAATCAAATGACTGAGCCTAAATAGTTTTTAAACCTATTCAAATTTTTCGCATTAGTAGCTTCATGAGGTAATTTATTTCAATTATCGACAGTAATGTAATTTATTTCAATTATTGATTTTTAAAAAACTTTGTTCTAAGTTTTTTCTATTTTTCTATTCTTAATCGTTTATCATGTCCTTTTGTTTTTTTGCTTTCAAGTAAATTTTTTCCAGTTCATTTTATTTCATCGCCTAACTTTATCATATCAACATCGCCTGGATCCAATACATTTACAATAGATAATTATACTTTACATCTTCGAAGTTTTTAAAAAATGCGTTGAAAATTTTATCAGTCTACTTTTTTCACATTTTATATCAAATTAAAAAATAAAAAATATTTCCTTCCCGTTTCCTCAAGTGCTATTAAAATTTTTGCTGAGTTTGTTATGAACAGAAATTCTATTTTCTCATTCATTTTTTGTATACCCACCTTAATGCATTCTTGTATTGTTACTGTTGTATAATATATATATAATATATTATGAAATTATTGTTTGTTGTGAAAGAAATTTAATACTGTATCATATTTCAATATTTACGTATGCAGCTGTTGTGAGAGCGTTTTTAAAAAGATTAAACTAAAATTTGAATGAAAAACAAAAAAAATGTCGTACATCAAGTGGTAAGTTGTAATTGGGCAGTCTTATGGATTATTCATGAGTGTCGTTAACATTCATATGTCCACTGCTTCTGCTCCCTTCCTGTCACCACACCACCACGCCACCACGCTAGTCACCCACGTGCTCTGCTGGGACCACCCACACGCTACACATTCCAGTTAACATTTTCACATAATTTTATATTTTTTTACAAGTTCTTAATTTTAAATTGCGTTTTGTGAAATTATTGAGCGCAACGTTTTAAGAACAAATAAGTGTTAATGTTAATAGCATTATCAATGAAACTCTCAATGAAACAGCTTGAATGCATCAAAAGATGCATCAAAAGATAAAAAAATAATTCAAAAAAATTAAATAAAAATATTTTATGAGAAAAATGTTTTTGAAATATAAAGCGATCTGTTTCACAAATGAAATGTTGCATCGAACAATAAAATACGGCAATCAAGTTCTGTCTCAAGCGCGCTTACAACGGTACATGCATCGTTACAATGGCACATGCAAACTGAAGCACTCAATTAAAGCATTCAACTGATAAACTAACATACAAAACCAACAACAAACTAAAAAACAGCACAAGTAAATATTTTGATACAGAAAAATTTTTTACAAAAACATATTGGGACGAATTTTTATTGAAACGGAATGTTTATTTTTTATAATGAAAAACCTTTAAATTTTTGAATTGAAAGTTAAATAAATATATTGTACAGACGTTTAACAAAGTAAAATTAACTATAACTCTTAACAAAATGTTTACGATGGTTCAGTAAAAAAAAGCGAGCCTGGTTTATCTACATTTGAAAATTTCAGAAAGGTGCAAGAGGCTTGAATGTTTTTAAAATGCCGACGAACGATTTTGTCGTCCCATATTTGCTTACAAGACTTTGCGTGAAAAAAATTATTAAAACATTTTAAAATTAAGATGTAAAATCTAAAACAAGCTTTATATGTAAATGGTAAGAAGCTAATTGTAAGGCGGCAGCCCTCAACTCCCTTCTTTGGTTACACCTGCTATCACGTTTTATTTAAAAAATCGTGTTAACATAAATTTATCTCCTTGATTAGCTAAACTGAAAAAAATTAGTTTATAATATGAATAGAATACAATTGTTAATTGTCAAATTTGGGTGATTAATGTTACTTATAATTCTAAAAATTTCTGTTCTAACACTGCCTAAATTGTTCTTGAAATTGAAGGATGAACTTTTATATTACCTGACTAACGAACATCATTTGCAATTAAAATGTCATTTGAAACAATCCTGTAAAAATGTTTAATGCATTTATTTTTTCAAAACAAATTGGTCAACAAAAGTGCGATCATATGCAAATTTCCAACTTAGCTGCTTTAAATTTTTGTAAAGATGTTCTCTCACTTCATATTTGTTTATAAGATCGTATAACTTATAATTAAAGTATAACCCAACAATTTAAATATTTTTGGGAAAATTTCTTACAATTAAAATGTTTACGTGAATAATTGTCACAGAGTTTTAACAAACAATTACAAAATTCAGAAAAAAGTTAACAGTTATTTTATTTTTTACACATTAAATTTGCACACCCATCTTTACCTGGCGTTTCGATTTAAAGTAACGCTTTTAATTGATGGATACTTCACGAAATCTTTTAAAAATAATAAAATATTCATAAATAAACCATTAGATTTTGTTTTATTAGCTATAAAGCCCAAAATAAATAAAATACTTTCAAAATACCAACACAGCGAATTTTTAATTATATTTCATATTTAAAAGTAAATTCTGATTTGGTTTAAAATATTTAAATAAACAACATAAAATTCATAACTCTTCAAAAAAAGTTGTTTACTTCTTAAATAGCTTATAAACGTTTTTAAAATAATAAACTTTTTTAAAAGCATTTAAATTACAGAAAACTTCTTATCTGAAAAGACGGATTAAACGATTAGCAAGCGGTAGAATTATATTTGTTAAAGCGTATTTCTTACATGTTGGTAAAATTCCGATATTTACTGTTGATGCGATTGAAGTGCTGTCACTAGACATTTCCCAGAATGCAACCAAAAATAAAAAATGTCGCAGTTCAATTTAGCAAGAATTAGACGGAATAATTGTTACTGTATCAAATCAAAATATTTTTAAATGTCTGATTTGTAAATCCGTTCACTTTAGAAAGAAAGAAACTTGCATTTCTCATTCTTAATTGACTTCTGAAACAAATTGTAAAAATATCAATCCCAAGATTTCAATACAGCTTCCAAAGTACCTGTCCTATTATAGATGTTAAAATTATCTTCTTCACAAAAGTTGAAAGATTAAAAACTTTTAAAGCAAAAATATAATCGTTTCTTGATGTTAATATAAATAATTGACAACATGAATGACAGCAACAGCAACTATTGCAGTCATGCATGATAACTAACTTTTTAATAGATCAATATATAGTGACTTTTTCATAGATCACTATATAGTTCAAATGTTTTTATACTATCGTTTAATTGGACCCACAAAAACATTTCACGGATCACTTGGTATGCTCTTCAAATGTAGGACATTAATCTAGCTGAGCTTAAGATAATGAGCGCAGGTCGGTCAAGAAAGAAGACTTGCTATGAAGAGCTCTCCAACTTTCTGTCGCCGAGGAACAATGCCTCCCACCGTCTCATTTGACACACGAAGGCATAAAGAACAAGAAAAATTTAATGACCCGACGTGATGTCTGAAACAGTAGCAACAAATACAGACATCTCTATGCATCATACGTATGTACCAACGTTCAATATACGTAAACATAAGATCATACGTACAACTAACAATCTTTTTAATTGCGAAATATAAACAAGACAGATTGAGTGAAGGGCAGTTATGTTTGGGTATGTGCACAGTCTATTCCTGCTTCGTAGAAAAAATATTACAATTTTAAATTATTTACTTTTATCCAGTTTATCTACTTGTTGCAATTATTTTTGGATATTAAAGATTCAAACATTTCAAAGTACATAATTGAGGATGATGAAGTTGTGGAGCTATAAGTGCAGTTTAAAATTTAAACAGTATCAAAAATAAAATTCAATTATTAGCCTTTTCATAACAGTTATCAACGAATTTAAACATATGAACAATTTTGTAGAAACTTATTGCTTATTATTAAAAAGATAAAAAAAGCAATTGGCACTCAAATTTGTACAAACTTCCATACGAACATGTACATTTCTAATTGAATACAAATGAAGCCAAGCATAATCATAAAAATAAATTCACATTTAGAGACAATTACATCTATGAAATGAATGAATATGCTTACATACATTTATTTCAGCGACTTGATAATGATGAATGCAGGCAGGGGAGCAGGCAAGCAAGACACCACGTCAGCTCATCTCACGCACTTCAATCCAAGAAACATAAACATACGTTCATACATACATACATACATACATACATACATACATACATACATACATACATACATACATACATACATACATACATACATACATACATACATACATACATACATACATACATACATACATACATACATACATACATACATACATACATACATACATACATACATACATACATACATACATACATACATACATACATACATACATACATACATACATACATACATACATACATACATACATACATACATACATACATACATACATACATACATACATACATACATACATACATACATACATACATACATACATACATACATACATACATACATACATACATACATACATACATACATACATACATATATACATACATACATACATACATACATAC